AGAAGAAGCAGAAATAATACACAAGATGGCTATAAAAACAAAGTAAAAAATATAAATACTATTTTTCTATTTGCTAATTAATTTAAAGACGTATCTGATCATGGCTCTCCAAAACTTCTATTTTTTTTTCTCGAACTAATTTTTGAAAATTCACTATCATTATGTATTCAGCCGTCCATTCCCACAAACTGTTTCAATAAGTTACTAACTATTCCCCCATATCTATATTCTTCGTTATATCCTGTGAGTGTTATATTTTCCAAACACGCTTTCCTCGATACACGTCCCCGGAACACCAAATGTCTCTTTTTCATTGAATGCTTAAGTTCCTTTGTAGTCCCTGTTCCCTTAAAACGTTCTCGTTTCTCGTAAATTGTGTCCATATTATTCTTAGCAATTGTCAGTGGAACTCATCTCTGTTGTTTCATCTGTGGAGAAATTGGTCAGCATCCACATAGGAGAATACGAAAGTGTTTTATAAAGATCTCGGAAGAATCGAAAAACTGGAGAAATCGTGAAATCATTCAGTCAGAATAACGAATTTACTGCCACTTTCCATGAAAGATCCCAAACTATAAAAGTCGAAAGTGTGAGGTCTTTTGGCAATTTTAATTACACCTCATAATAACGTGAGGTGTGTTAAATCATATGTTATGGTAAATTACCCACGCACGCAGGGACTCACCCAGCTATAAATAGGAGTAGGTACTGCCTTTTGGGAGAAGGAAGCGTCCAGCAGTCAGCTCTGACAGTCGCATGGAACATTCTTGATGTAACACACTCTTTTGTATATGTTTGTATTACTGTTTCTGTTAATATATATGTTTAACTCAATTCCTCTCTTGTGTCTTTGTTTCTGGCCCTAACATGTCCACAGCATCATACAAAGAAATGTTTTTAGCAGAAATTTGATAACCCTCTTCTCAAAGTCGGTTTTCGGTTTCTTCTAAAAGCATTTGTATGTTTTAACATTTCATATTATTAAATATGTACTAGACAACTTGTGATCCGTTGGGCCACGTAATGTTCTGGTTATAAAACATCGAATCTGATTTCAACATTCAGTTGAAATGAAAGTTCATTTTGTTATGATTCAGTTACATATTTCAATTCGTTCTTGTCATCATTGATCTGGTTTACAAGTCCATGTTTAACGTTTTTCTGATTGTTTACAGCATTTATTCGGATAAACTTGAACTTTAAATCAGATTAACTTAAAATATTTTTTTATATGCCAAAAATATTTTAAAATCATATTAACTTGAAAATATTTTTAAATATGTCAAAAATATGTTTTAAATATTTAATAATATTGTTTGTATAAAAAAAACTGAAATACAAATAATTACTCTACAAACAATTGGACGAAACAGCAAAGCGGCATCTCTTTGTGTCTGTCTTAATTTTAAAATATTTTAATTAAAAGACTGTTTGAAGAAAAAAAAAATACATACTGTATAAACAATTCGTATTTTTAAATCTTGTTCCCTTGAATTAGATTGATTTAAATCATTATGCGCCGGACGGACGCACCTCAAAAGCGCGCATGCAATCACAGACTTAGGATTATATAAATACTTAAAGAATTCTAAACATACCTCGGCATGTGATGAAGGTTAAGGAGGCAAGTATAATCGACCATTTCGACTGATTTATGTGTTCGAACTTTACTTGGTAGCCGTTACAAGATTCACATTACACATTAACTATCCACTCATTGGTAGTAAAAGGACAATCAATACAGCACGATAAAAGTCTTAAAAACATTTTTGTATTGAAATTACCAACAATACATTTTATAATCTACCAATAATGTAAAAAAAAACCCCCAAAAAACAGACCTTTTGTTCTGAAAATATAAATTTATGTACAAAATATCAGAACTTGAAAGCATAAAATTGCGTACAAAATATTTAGATTTCGGCATTAAATAACCCATAGAGGTGTTGATATGCCGCTAAACAAAATTAAGCAAATAACTATAATCCAGACAGCAATGAAAACTAAATCTATCTCCTGGCTATGTTGTGTGAGCATCTGAATTCAGAGATGTCTTTCTCTTTGGCCCCTTTGCCATACCAAGGCTAAATTTTCCTACCATTTTATTACCCATACCCAGTTAGAGAAGAGACGGACATACTTTAATTAAATTAGCGTAGTGGTTATTGAGGTGCCAAATTCAAATTCCCGAAACGTTTCTTGTGTTTAATTTTTCACAAATAACGTTCTTCTCCCCAGCTATGGGTTAAATAGCAGCACAGACTGCGCTGTATAGACTCCGCTGGTAACAAGTAGGAGAAGGCGAAAAATAAGTAGAGATCACCAACAGACAAGAGTGGGAAGGTGAAAATTATTATAAAATCTTATCAATAATACATTATTCTAGTGAAATTACCAGTAATACATATCTAAATAAATTTACTAACAATACATTTTATCATCTAAAAAGAATATCTAAAAACAGACCTTTGCACTGAAAATATAAAATTATGCACAACATATCAGTAGTTGAAAAGCATAGAATTGCGTATAAGATATTTAGATTTCGGCATTAAATAACCCACAGAGGTTGATATGCCGCTAAACAAAATCAACTAACGAACTATCGAACAACTTGTATGCTCTTAAATAACTCTTGTCTATCTGATTCTTACTAACTTTTCCATTCTTTTGGAAAACAATGAGTTAACTCAATTAGATTTTGTACCTTACGCCATTTTAATGAATTTAATAAATTATTCAGAAAGTTCATATCTAGTGATTTCACACTGAATGACAAAGAAAAGTATGTGTAATGAGATAACTGATTTTTTCCATTCTTCTACAAACAAGACGATTGGTTGTTACGAAATAATGTGATCTGTCTATAGATATACTTGTCATAATTGAGATGTGTGTACTTTCTTCCTCATGTTTGTTTGTTTTTTTTTTTAGTTGGTCTGCAAAATATTTTAATTTTCTTGATTAAGTTCAAAAAAGTAAGGGGCGATAACTGTGTTAGTACTAGATTGGCAGCAAGCTCTCATAAATTTATCGTCCTGGATGTGATCATAAACTCTATGTGGCAGAAAGTCCTCTGATCTGGAGATTGGTAATTTTGAGAAATGTGGAACCGCCTCTTAACTGCTGTTGTTCCCTGGTCCTACCTAACCTGGGTTGGTAGCACCTGTTGGGGTCCCAGCTATGGATATATAGTGAACCCCTAAACAAAAATCAGCAGTACATTTTATAGTAAAATGACCAACAATACCTTTTTATATCAAAATGACAATCAATGCAATACTAAAAAAATATATAAAAAAAATTTGTAGTGAAATTACAAAATATACATTTTATGATCTACAATCTATATATCTAAAAAAACTTACATTTATTCTGAAAGTATAAAATTACGTACAAAATATTTAGATTTCGGAGTTATATGATCCATTGAGGTGTTGATATACCGCTAAATAAAATGAACAAACTAAATAAACTTTGTCAAATCGCAAAAAACAATGTAATGGTAATTCGGGGCGGAAAGTTAAATCTACGTACCGAGTTCAATACGCGGACGATTCTACTCTCATTTCATTTCGCGCTGAGGCTCTTGGCAAAGGTATGAATTCGTTTTTCTCAGGCTATGAGTTAAATAATAATGTATATTGTGTAAATAACAGGGTATATTCTCTTCTCGTAGACAGTTTGATGTAGCAAGCTGTCTACGACAAGGGAAACTCTGAATTCAACTTAGATGAAAAGGGATGGGCTCCGTCATATTATCTTGCCCAAGAAACACCAATACTGCTATGGCGGCTGTCCATATGGTTCCCCTACGTCTTTAATGGATTAAGGACTCGTGACTTGACGAAAAAAACAACCGACTTAACCTCGAGGTTTGTAAATATGAATGACACATTTTATCCATTCCAGATGAGGTGATACAGGTATCGACAACACGGAAATCTAAATTCGGTAAACATTGGATTTACCTGATATCATTATTATGAATTGCCTCTGTTACATTTTTGTTATAACGCAAAAACGAGACCAGATTATGCTGTGTTAATGAGAAACCGATTTTTAAAATTATCTTCCTTTGTGAAAAGCTGATTTTTTTTTTATATATATGTCCTCCTGAACAAAAAATGCACAATAACACGAATAGTTAAATCTGGTGACCTAATTACGTATTTGCTCATCTCTTGAAAAGGATTTATATCGCTATGTAATACGGTGATTTTATTTTGAGGTCAGACGACTCTGTTGAATATAATCTCTGCAGAATGATCATTTCATAAAAAAACCGGATACGTTTTTAGAAACACCTAATGAAAAGCGGGCTCAAAGGATACGACCAACGAAAATTATAATGAATCTGGTTACATATTCTTCCCTAACGATAGAAGTTGAAAGCAAAAAAAAGAACAGAAGAAAATTTGAAAACGCGTTTGGGATATTAAGGAATTGAATATGCTGATAATATTAGTAATCTCACACGTTAGAAAATGTCATACTGATTATAATATTAGCATGAATATAAGAAAAATTAAAAAAAAAACTGCGATAAGAAAGTAGAAAACGCAAAGGACAAATTGGCGGAAATCTGATCGAATAAATATGGCGAAGATAATGAAAGAAAAGATTCAACAGACTCAATTTTGCAATGACAATCGTTATCTTCTAATTTCTTAATAACTGTTTTTTTATCCTTCTCTCTTTTTATTAGTATTCCTTTCATATTTTTTTGGTTATTCTCTCACATTCAGTTTCCCCTTGTGTCTTAGTGGCTTTATTGACTTGCTTTGGGTGAAATGATTTTTTTAAAAACAGAAGAAAGAGAAAGAAAAGGATGATTACAATGAGTCATGGCGAATTTAAGGAAGAATAAATGTCAGGACATGAAAAAGAATGAAGAGAGAAAAAGAAAGTGTCAAAAAAGAAAGAGTCAAAAAAGAAAGAGATATATTGACGAGAGAATAGAAAAAGTGTAGGCAGGGAAAGAAAATGGAGTTGTTTTTTCATTTAATTAGAGTAAAAAAGAAGTAAGAAGAATGCAGTGAGAGCGGTAAGTCTGATGATGAAGAAGAAGAAGAAGAAGAAGAAGAAGAAGAAGAAGAAGAAGAAAAAAGGAGACGAAAAAGAATAAAATGATAAAAAGAAAAAAAGAAAGAAAGAAACAAGAGCTCAAAAGCGAGGAAAGAGAGGTAGAAGTAAAAGAAAAGAAATAAAAGAGGCGGAACGAATTCCTTATATGTAGACGTACAGAAATGAGAAATATGGTTAAAATAATGATGATTAGGTTTATTAAGAAAAAATAATATTGCGAGAAAATTGAGAAGAAGGAAAACAATGGGAGAAAGAAGAAAATGAGGAGCAGAAAATGGAGAAAATGTAAATGAATAAACAGTTAATGGAGAAGAAAGAGGTGGGGAAAAGAATGAGAAAGAGAGAAGAAAGTGAAAAAGAAAATTGCGAAAGACAGGAAGGAAGAAATAAAAGAGTGAAAGACAAAAAGTGAAGAGGGTGAAGGGAGGAAGAAGATTGCAGTGAAGAAGGAAAAAGTGAAGAAGTAAAAGGGAAAATGAGAGGAAAGTGAAGGAAGAGGAGATAGAGGTGAAGGACAAAAAGAGAAAGAGAAAAAGAGATAAAGAGACAAAGTTGAAGGAGGAGGAGATAGAGGTGAAGGACAAAAAGAGAAGGAGAAAAAGAGATGAATTTGAAGGAGGAGGAGATAGAGGTGAAGAACTTAAAGAGAAGAACAAAAAGAGACGAAGTTGAAGGAGGAGGAGATAGAGGTGAAGTACTTAAAGAGAAGGACAAAAAGGGACGAAGTTGAAGGAGGAGGAGATAGAGGCGAAGGACAAAAAGAGAAGGAGAAAAAGAGACGAAGTTGAAGGAGGAGGAGATAGAGGTGAAGTACTTAAAGAGAAAGAGAAAAAGGGACGAAGTTGAAGGAGGAGGAGATAGAGGTGAAGGACAAAAAGAGAAGGAGAAAAAGAGACGAAGTTGGAGGAGGAGGAGATAGAGGTGAAGTACTTAAAGAGAAGGAGAAAAAGAGACGAAGTTGAAGGAGGAGGAGATAGAGGTGAAGTACTTAAAGAGAAGGAGAAAAAGAGACGAAGTTGAAGGAGGAGGAGATAGAGGTGAAAAAAGAGAAAAAGAAAAGAACGTGAAGGACAAGTTTATTGAATTGAAGAATGAAAAGAGAAGGGGGTAAAAGGGAAAATATACGAACATAAAAGCGGTAAAGATAGAGGTAAATATCAGAAAAGAAGGAGATGGAGGAGGAGGAAGAGGAGGAGAAGGAAGAGGAGGAGGAGATACTGTTAAAAAATAAAAGGTATAAGGAATAAAAGAAAATGTATGACAGAGTGGAAGGAAGTGTAAATAGAGTTGAAGAACAAAAAGAGGAGTAAAAAAGAAGAGGAGATAGAGGTGAAGGACAAAAAGAGAAAGAGAAAAAGAGACGAAGTTGAAGGAGGAGGAGATAGAGGTGAAGGACAAAAAGAGAAGGAGAAAAAGAGATAAAGAGACTAAGTTGAAGGAGGAGAAGATAGAGGTAAAGAAAAAAAAGAAAAGATAAAAAGAGACGAAGTTGAAGGAGGAGGAGATAGAGGTGAAAGAACAAAAAGAGAAGGAGAAAAAGAGATAAAGAGACAGAGTTGAAGGAGGAGAAGATAGAGGTAAAGAACAAAAGAGAAAGAGAAAAAGAGACGAAGTTGAAGGAGGAGGAGATAGAGGTGAAGGACAAAAAGAGAAAGAGAAAAAGAGATAAAGAGACAAAGTTGAAGAAGGAGAAGAAAGAGGTGAAGAACAAAAAGAGAAGGAGAAAAAGAGACGAAGTTGAAGGAGGAGGAGATAGAGGTGAAGGACAAAAAGAGAAGGAGAAAAAAAAAGATAAAGAGACAAAGTTGAAGGAGGAGAAGATAGAGGTAAAGAACAAAAGAGAAAGAGAAAAAGAGACGAAGTTGAAGGAGGAGGAGATAGAGGTGAAGGACAAAAAGAGAAGGAGAAAAAGAGATAAAGAGACAAAGTTGAAGGAGGAGAAGATAGAGGTAAAGAACAAAAGAGAAAGAGAAAAAGAGACGAAGTTGAAGGAGGAGGAGATAGAGGTGAAGGACAAAAAGAGAAGAAAAAGAGAAACTGAAGTAGGTAGAGACTGAGGTGAAGAACAAAAATAGAAGGGGATAAATGAGGAGGTGATTGAGGTGAAGAATTAAAAGAAAAGGAGAAATAGAGAAAAAGAGACAAGATTGAAGGAGGAGGAGATAGAGGTGAAGAATAAAAAGAGAAGTAAAAGAGAAAAAGAGGGAGTAGACGATCAAAAAAAAAGATCAACAATAAGTAGTAATTGGAAGGAAAATGAAGGCGAAGGTGGAGGAGATAGTGGCGAATAATAAAAAAGAGTAGGGGTGAAAAGAAAAACAGTAGAGAGCGGGAGGAGATGAAAAACAAAAAGAGGAGTAAAAAAGGAAAAGAGAGGAAGGTGAACGAGGGGTAGATAGAGATGAAGAATAAAAGGAGTAAGTGAAATAAAGCTGAAGAATAAAAAAAAGGAGTAAAAGAGACGAGGTGAAGGAGGAGTAGATAGAGGTGAAATAAAAAGAGGAGTGAAAGAAAAATGTGACGAAGAGGAAGGATGAGTAGGTAGAGGGGAAGACCAAAAGAGTCGTAGTAGAAATAAAAGGAGTATTAGTTGAAAGCTGAGTAGTTAATGGTGAAGAATGAAAAGAGGAGTAAAAGAGAAAATGTGATGAATCTGAAGGAGGAGGAGATATAGGTAAGGAAGAAATGGAATAATGAGTACAAGAGATAGAGGGGAAGAATAAAAAGTGAGGGATTAAAAGAGAAAAAGAGACAAAGGTTGAGGAGGAAGAATTAGAAGTAAAAAGAGTAAGAATGAGAAACAAACTATGAGTAAGTAAGGAAAACAGAGAATATGATTTGGGAGCAGACAGAGGTGTATAATAAAAGGAGGTAAAGTAAAAGAGAAAAAAGATAATGTGTTTGAGGAGAGGATAGAGGTGAATAATAAAAAGAGGAGGAGTAAAAGAGAAAAAGAGAATGTGATTGAGGAGCAGATAGTGGTGAATAATAAAAAAAGGAAGTATTAAATGAG